AAAAAAAACAAAACAGAGAGAGGTCAGAATGCAAAAAGGTTTCAAGAGCTGGCTAAACACTGAAGCTTCATTGTATGCGACATGGCGACCTGTGTGAACAACGACTTTAGGGAAGAGGGGGGCGGAGACAGCTCTCTCCAATGTTTTGAATTTGGACTGCGGTACCCATTTAAATGCTACATGTCAGAATTACATACAGTCTAAGAAATTGCTGTAAATTTACAAGGAAATTTCAACAGTATGATCCTGTTGTGTTTAAATACAGGACATTACTGTATTATAACGGTTTATAACAATATTTCACTGTATTATTGCTTGAAGGAAACAAAACAGTAATTTACCGTAGTTTTTGCAATGCATTTTGGGAAAAAGAAGTTGAGACCACATGGTTGAAAGGACAGTGGAGTTGGCTTTGCCAGATTGTCATCCATCTCCATCCTGACAATTAAGAGGTGAGTGCCTTACTGCTTTGGTAATTAGAATAGGCAAAAACCATCACTTACTAAGTTTGAAGTCATTTGTAAGATTGATGTTAACTAGATTTGGAAATTACACAGAAACACTGCAGGCAGACACAAACGCAGTGAGCGAATTAGAAATTATGATTAGCTGGGCCTACTAGGCAATATGGCCATAGTATAAATAGAATAATATACAGCATTTGAAAATGTATAAAAGGAAACTTTAGTGAGACTGTCAGAATTGACCTGGAGCATGTTTTTTGTTTTTTAATGTTTTAACACATAAAGCTGCTGCCATACATCCTGAATTCATGTACTTAAAGTAATTCCAGGACTTTCATACTAATTCTACTTCATACTTTTACTTTACTTCTTTGTATATGGAGAATATTCAGAAAGGATTGTCCATATGATAAAGTTCACTGTTCAGCTGGAGCTGCTTTTGTTCTAATGTTGTTTTTTTCCCTTTACAGAATCCTTGTGGCAGTTTCAGTCTGGAAGGAAAAATCAGAGGGAGGTGCAGGTCCAGGGACCCAATTTCCCTCAGAGGACAGGTTGTTTATTCAGTTATGAAACTATAACAGATTTCTTTTCACTTCTCTGTTTAAAATGTATCTACCAAAACTCTTTTATGCACTTTTTTTTACATTGGAAATGGCCTTTGTAAATGTCTTCATGTAAGTATTTGTGTTAGATTTTTTGCCTATTTAACCTTCATGTTCTTAAAGTGTATTTTCTTTGTTTTTGTCACAGTTTCAATAAAGACAGATGTGGTTTGAGAAGACACTTTGAAGTTTTATTATTTGTCTTAACATTTAAGTTGCAATTTTAAAGGCAATGTTTATTTATTATTTTAAAACATAACCTGACATGCAAGGAATCATTTATCAAATCACTAGGTGTAGTATTTACAATTCACAGTAAAAATCTGCAAATATACCTCTTGTGAAGAAGTGTAAATAAACAGTATTAACCCTCTGGACTCTATCCTGGCCATTTGTGGCCACTTCACTTTTTTTTTTTCAACCATTTTAGCTGTGTTAATGCATTAGGGCTGAAATTTCTCAAGGGTGTGGACTTTTGCCTGATATTTAAATTTTCAACTTCAGCACTTTAAATATATCAAAAATATACTGTATACATCAAATACTACCTCTTGGCCTATATATAATATATAATGCACTTATTTAGCAAACATTCAAAGCATTTCGGACACTAGTCACTCACTTACCAGCCGTTAACTGTGACATCATTGTTGTCGCACAAATAACTGATGTAGCTTAAGTCCAGTCAATGATCAATAATAAAATGTATTATCATGAACGCCCCCCCCCACCACCACACACACACACACACACACACACACACACACACACACACACACACACACACACACACACACACACACACACACACATATACACACACACACACACACACACACACACACAGATTGGAAACTATTGGTTTAGGACACCTTACAGATAGAGTGCTTGGGAAAGGAGCACAGTGTAGTATTTTCAGCGTTGTTAACCACAGTTTTCTGCAACTAGCTCATTAGCTTTATCTTTTGGAAGATTCCACTCATGGGAAATACGTGCATAGACAGAGTCCACAACTGAAGCCATAAATAGGCAAGCAAACAAATCCCTCAATAATTAGACTTACTGTGACAGCCACAGATACAATCCATAAAAGTTGGGACATTGAGGAAAATGTGAATAGAATGATTTTGAAAATGTAGGCTAACACTATTTGATTGAAAAAATAGCCCAATGAAAACAACTCAAATCTTGAAACTGACAACAATTATTGTTTTTTTGAATATTTCATGCCCATTTTGAATTTGATGCCAGCGACTTATTTCAAAAGGTTTGGACAGAGTCATGTTTACCTCTGTTGAACGGCAACCACTAGCTCCAGTTTGCACATCCTGCTGCTCTTGAGAATGCACACGCATGCATGTACACACACTCATTGAAACACGCTTTTAAAAAAATCAACTGTTGATAGTAGAAAATAATCTTATGTGGTATTTTTATAGCATTTTGTAATAACAAAGAAAATGTTTTTCACCTCTAACACGACAAGTGGGAGTTTTTGTCTTTTTAGTCACTGCTCAAAAGAAGTAATAATGCAATATATATATATATATATATATATATATATATATATATATATATATATAATCTTTGTCACTGTTACTGGTATTGACCTGCAATGATCATTAAAACAAATTTGGTTGCATCAATGTTATGTGAAAAAATTACAACTTTCTCTTCTTTTTCCCTGGAAAGTTAGTGGTAATATGTAATCTAACTGGTATTTAAAGGGTTAAAACTCTGGTATTTATTACATTTTTGACTTTCATGTTCAGCAAAGCAAAGCAAATTAAAAAAATCAAGTGGTGAAAGTGGACAAATCCTATAATATATATAAATTTTATAGCATTTTCAGAATATAAACAAGAGGTGGCCAGTTTGGGCACGAACAAGCTGAGAGGGTTTTTTTTCTGTTTTTCTGTCACTGCACAAAAAATGAGTGATGCATAAAAATCATTGGTACTGCTTATTATTGACATACATTTAGTTGCAATGATGGTTAAAAAAATTATCAGGTAGCATGTATTATTTGGTAAAAAATTGTGATTTTACGCTTTTCTCCCTTTTTACATCATTAGCATATTGTGATCTGACAGGCATTTAAAGGGTTAAAATTCTGAATTTGAATGAAATTTTGGTTTTCATGACAAGGAATGAAGCAAATTTAAAAAATCAAGTGGTGAAAGTGGACAAATCCTTTAATATATATACATTTTATAGCATTTTCAGAATGTAAACAAGAGGTGGCCAGTTTGGCCACGAATAAGCTGAGAGGGAGTTTTTCTGTTTTTCTGTCACTGCACAAAAAATAAAAATGCATTGAAATCACTGTTGCTGTTAATAAGTTACATATCTCAGACTGTGCTACTATATATGTAATAAATACCAGTAGCATTGAGAATATTTAAAATTGTCAACGTTGAGGTTGTTTTCCAACAGGTGCATTGTGCAAACAAACTGGCATTTGAAGGGTTAAAAATGAAAATATGAGAATATTTTATACTTTATGACAAGCAAACATTATGCAGTAAAAGTAGCAAAAAACATACAAAATCTAAAAAAATGACTGAATCAGCCTGTTAGTGGCCATTTTTGGCCACGGACAAGCTAAAAGGGTAGTAAAAAGGAACAAAGCATGAGGGTTAAACAGTCAATTCTTTCAACAGTATTTTCCTGTTAAGGTGTAAAATCACAGCTTTTTGCTGTATTTACAAAAACGGTAGAAAACTGTAAAGTTCAGCAACAGCAATATACCGTTAATTTTACAGTAACTTCCTGGCAACCCTACTGCCAATTGTTTACCGTTTTTTAACAGGTACTGCTCCTTTAAATATACTTGTTAATAAAGAAGAGGGAAGAAAACATGCAGGTAACAGGTAACTTATTAGAATAATGTATTCTTAACCTGCCCACCAAAAGAACATTTTACTTCATTAGCGTTGTCTCCAGTTGGCAAGAGACAAAAGTATAAATCTAGTTAGTTCAGGGTGTACCCTGCCTCTCTGCTGGGTTCGACTCCAACCCCCAACCCTTCCCCCAATGACGCCGCGGATGGATGGATGGATGGTTGGATGGATGGATGGGTGGATGGATGGTTGGATGGATGGATGGATGGTTGGATGGATGGATGGATGGATGGATGGTTTTTGTTCAGTGAAATTCTCCAACCTTTATCTTACAAAATAACCATGATATATTGACATTACATTAAAAACTTCTTGATCAATACCAATGACTTGGGTGTTACTTCTGTCTCTGAGAATATGATTCAAGATTTTCCACATTCTGTTGATACACATTTGTTGCTTTTGATCACACTCTTAGACGGGCTGCAGCAGAGATCTGTCTGATGGTGTAAATTAATACAGGGGGGAAACAGGTTTTTAATTTGCAGTTCACTCTCACTGTTGTGGCACATTTTTTTGTGTGATCCAAAGGTGTCATCTTTTAGGTTTACTCATTAAAGTAAGGTTTACTTACTTTAATTTTTAATTCAATTAAAAGTGGTGGAATAGAAATGAGCAGCTGCAATACTAAACCACTGTTCACACATCATCCAGAGGTATGTCAACCTCTGGTCAGACTTCAAGTTTAGTTTTTTTATTGAAGTTTCTACCCAGCAAAAACACACTAGTATGACTTTCTTCTTGTGGAAATGTTGTGAGTTGAACCTTGTTTAGTTCTGTGTTTGTACAAGTGAGATATTTGACGACTTACAGAGTGATGGGAAGTGGAAATGTGGAGAGGCCAGGTGAATAATGAATGAGGCTTCTTGACTGATGGGCAGTAAAAACTTATGGCAGCACCGATCTCCTCCTTCTTATCCTCGGATCAATAAACAACATTAAATCCTACTTTTACGCTCTGTATTAATATTTTGCGCTTTAACAATAAATAATGTTAAAGTTGAAACATGAATCACTGAAACGAATCCGGGTATTTCTCAAACTTTTAATTATTGTGAGGCCAAAAATGTCAAGTAAAAAAGTTTAATTACACTTTACACATAATGTAAAATCATATTAAATGCTCAGTTATTTATATATTAAACATTTTAGAACAGAAAACAAATGTGTCCTGTAATCATATAACCCAGCCAAACAATCACTATGGCTGTGGTCAATACAGCAGCTGCTATAAATGACCAGTCACTCCCAAACAACAGCCTGAGAAATGCAGTACTATTGCATTGTAGCTAATTCAACCTGAGCTCAAACTTCCCTTCAATATCAAGCATTAGCTAATGAGCATCAGCTGCTGACTGCAGCTGGCAAACAGTAACAGATCTTACACTGGACACTGACTCAGACGTCCTGCAGAAATAAATTAATAGTGTTTGCGGAGGTCCTGGATTTAATGACCCCCCTCAACAGGATGACATCATACATGAAAAAAAAGGCATTACTTAAAGCTAGGCACCTATTCCAGGAAAATAGTCGTAGAGGGCCTGATAAGACAAATGCTTCATTTGAGATAAAAAACATATCAGTGATTAAAAGAAATCTATATTTAGGAAATCAGTATCCACAAAAGATAGGAGAACATGAAAGATTAAGAACCCAAAACTGTGTAAAAAAGAAAAATATCTACTTTATGAATTGGCAGTAACCAGACACACTGGCTATTTCAACATCTTAAAAATACAAAACACACAAAAAAAACAAAAATTGTAAAAGCTCCTCCAGCAAACACTCAGATGACAGACATGCTGAAATGAAAGAGTACAGCTTTAGACATGGTGTGACGGATCGCCTCTTCAGTGGTCAACCTGGAGCTGAAGACAGGTTGAATTGACAACGATAATGGTACAGCTGTGTGAAAGGATCAGCCAGCTGGTTGATGAGTTCATACAGTCATTTAGGTTGTTTTTTTTTATACCAATAAAAGCTGAATCAGGTAGTTATAGAGTAAAAAAGAATTCCTTCAAAGTAAATATTTCTTTGAATTTCTGGCCATCTATGACAGACATGCAGTCGGTGTAAACTGGGTGATGTTTTTAGGGGAGCAATTTAACTGCTGGACAATTCATCACCTCCAAACTGTTTTGGGGGGGGGGGGGTTGGAAGGTTTCATATAAACTTAAAGTTAGAGAACAGGTGTTAAGAAGGGACATTCAGAGACAGGAAAAAAGCACATTCAACTGATTAGGAGATTTCAAAAGCCTTCGACCTCATCAGGAGAGTGAGGTGCTTAATTTTGTAACACTGTACAAAATGCAGAGCTTGTTCAGGCTGAGGCTCGTCTTTCAGTCCGTCGATGGAAAATGAGGTGGGCCTCAGTCAATGTCAGCTTCACCACTTAAAAGAGTTTAAGTCAGAGGCAGGTTCACACGACATTTCTGTCAGGGTCCATGAGCTTGACAAAGATGGAAAATGTTCTTTTTTTTTTTGTTTACAGTGACCTTTATGTGCATTTCCTCTGTGGCACAGTGAGCTCTGGTGGGCTTCATTGGTAAAGCAGCAGCAGCAGCAGGGGGAGTGCTGTCGCTACCTAGATGCATCAGGAATGAGTTTCTTAAACCATCGGCCCACAGCCACATCTACTCTCATCACCAACGTGACCCCGATCAGCAGAGACACGCTGCTCACCAGGAACCCTGAGGCCTCAAACATTAACCTGGAATGAGAAAACATGGAGAGTGACACATACACATTTGAAAAGTAATACAGAACTTTACCAAACTCTTACAATATTAAGGGCAGGAGAGTATTAGAAGTTTCCTACATGTACATAATAATTCAAAATACTCTTTAGTCTGTGTTATAACTCATTGTTTTTGTGCAGGCAACAATAAAAAGAAATCATACTAGCATAGAATTACAATCATTTCAAGACGAGACATTTGTTACAATTTTGAAAAGACTAAATATTTGAAATTCTCTCTAGAAGCAGATATGTAAATCTGTAAATCTGACAGTGGACTTACAGAGAAGCAGACTATTACTAATATGTGCATTAACTAAAAAGCCTACATCCAGTACGTGGTTGGCAGTAACTATTGGGCCATACCCTCAAAAGCATTTACCGTTAGTGAGTTTATGTGAGCTGGAAAATCCATTCAGACACTTACTTGGGTGCAAAAACCTTCCACACCATTAGGTGTCTCCTGAGGATAGCAGCTGCACACACTGAGGCAAAGACCTAGGAAGGAAGCGGTGCACAGATAGTGACTGGAGGGATGTGATATTATTTACACATGAAGGTGAGACTGAACAAAAGAAAACATAATCACACTAAAAGAATAAAACAAGCTGGTGATATCTGAATTTAGCTTTTTGGTTGTTGTTTTTTTAGAAATAAATATCAAATCAGTAATGGATAGTAACAGGGTGTATATAGATGTAGAAAACACAAAAGCCTTGGGTGTTTTTTGAACGTACCTGGGCCCCGAGTATAAAGAGGTAGCGTGTTGAGAGTTGTAAAAGTGCAGAGCTGAACTGTTGGGGGTTTTCTCTCAGTCTCATCTCCATCACAGCGTCTTCTCCTTCTTCCCCACACGCTCTGCTTCCCCTGCTGCCCCGTACCTCACACACCAGAGGCCAGAACAACAGCAGCGGGCAGCTCACTGAAGACAACATGGACACAACCACAAATCAAAAGATATAAAACGCTATAGAAATCTCTGGGATAACACATCTCTGCCTACACATTCCATGTTTCATTTTCAATGTAACAGATTTTGATGGGAAGGTATATATACACCAGCCATTTCATTAAAATCACTTAATCTGGATGACATCTTTATTTTATTGTTTTAGATTATAAAATGTGCTTTATATTTTGTTCTAGATAACTATTGTGTTTCCAGTTGTAAAAGCCTATAATTTCTCCATTTATCTCAAGCTGCTTTGTTGATAACCACTACAGTACCTGCGAACAAGATGTGTGAGGCAAACGTGTTGAGGGTAACCAGTGAGGCAGGCAACACGGTGCCAGTGTGTCCATCAGGGAATCCAACAAAGGCAGCACTCCACTGGATGGAGGGGAAGGTGGGAAGGTGACCTGTTGCATGGAAAAACTGGGTGGCAGCCAAGGACCACAACATGACAGGAGTCCAGGGCACAATAAAGCCACCTAAGGGAAATAGTAAGAGGAATGTGAGAAGGGTAAAGATGACACTGACTGCATCAAAGGGATTAAAAAAACAGAAAAGAAAATCTCACTAGAATGTGTTCCATGCAGGCCGCTGAGGGTAGTGGAGGAGGCGTGGATGTGCAGCAGAGCTCCCATTTCAAGCAGCAGCAGTAGGAAGGACACAGCCATGCCCTCTGGGTGCAGCAGCAGAAGACCGATTCCCAGCAGGCCACAAAACAGAAGCAAAGGGGCAGAGTAAACAGTTCCCAGGCCATAGGCTTCCACAGCAGGCCTGCTGTCCACTTCATTGCCCCCACTCAGCTCTCCATCATCCAGGGAACGACGCATGCGCTGGTAGATTTGAGGGATGAGGTGGTGCAACTCAGCTTGGGGGCTAATTCCAGTACTGGCCCGATAGCTGGGCGGGGGTAGAGATGAATTTCTGGCTGTAGTTGCAGTCCTTGTCTTAACAAACACAGTGAGAGGATCGAGCCAGATTAGGAACAGCCCCAGTCCTAGGAGAAGGAAGGCGGTTCTTGGGAGGGCCAGCTGGCCCACGCTGATCAGCTCTGCAAGATTCCTGAAGCTGTCCTCTGGAGTGGCACTAACAGCCCAGTGGAGCCCCAGGCACACAGACAGCAGTGGTAGGATCCAGCGGGCAGTGAACACAGTCCCCCCTGAGGAGTTGAGATTACCATAGTGACGGAGGCAGCGTCTCAGCAGATAAGTCCACAAGCCAAGGGAAAAGACAGAGAGGATGTAGTGGAGGTTCTTCAGCTGGGCATCCTGCAACCGGGAAAGAGGGGACAGGAAGGGGGATGGGCGGCAGTAGCCCTGTTCTTCTCGACAGCCATGGAAGGAGAGGGAAAGGTAGAGGCTGCCGACAAGAAGTCCTAAGCAGGCTAGGAGGGTGCTGCTCTCTTTCCTCACAGTAGACGGGGGCAAGGCTGCAGCAGGAAGGAGTCCTGCAGGTTTCAGAGGGTCGTGGCTGGGGGGCAGAAGCAGGCCATCCCAGTTGAGATGGATGGGAATATAGAGAGCGAGAGAGAACACCAGAAAGGTCACAACACGGCCTTCAGCAATCACATAGCTATCCGAGAGCAGGGAGGCACAGCGCAGGAGTGGCACCAGGAGAGGCGGGACGAGAAGGTGGCGCAGGGACAGCCAGCTAGCAAACTTTTTAGATCCGTTCTTTGCGACAGTTATAGTCCTGGATTGACGTGCCCAGCGGAGAAAGAGCAGCTCAGAGCAGAGGGCAGCAGCTGCCAGGCACCACACAACATCAATGTAACCCTGTGTGAGCAGCTGACCAGCAGCCACACAAACTCCTGCTGTGAGAGCCACCATGGCCGGGGCCTTAAGTCCCGGACCAGTCTCACTGATTAACACGAGGGACAGCTCAGACAGGATGAAACAAGTCAAGCAAGCTAATGCCAGGACAGCTAAACCTGCTGCCATCTTGGTTGGGTTGAATTGAGCCCAGGTAGTTCTGCAGGTGTCTCTGACAGAGGTGAGGTAAGCCTGCAGGGAGGCAGCCAGCTGCGGGGAGGATGAGCGGCCCTCCCTGACCATGGTCAGGTACTCAGAGGAGAGGTGGGAGAATTCTTCCTTCAGCTTAGAGAGGCTCTCAGGTGATATGTCTTTGGCCATGCTTGAGTAAGTCTCCAGGAAACGGTTGACCTGCAGAAACAGAATGGTCACATGAGGTGATTTGCTCAGGGAAACGTGAGGTCTGAAGCTTTTTCTGTGTGGAGACATTAAACAACACACAGCACCAACTGAGCAGAGTACCTGTTTAGCATTGATCCACAGTGCCTCCAGCTGGCTGAAACCTCCAACTGCACCTTGTGTCTGCTCATGAGGAGGGAACACAGGCAGGAGAACCTGGCCCACGCTGCTGTAAGGGATGGGAACTCCCAGCAGGAGAGCCAGGGTGGGCACCAGGTCTGTTTGAGGGACCACATCTGGTTCACTCTATAAACAGAAGAAAATAACTGGTGGTTAGATTACTACTCAGTTTTTCTGAGATTTAAAGGGCTTCTCTGGCATTTTAGAACAGTGTAATATCGACATAGAGCAAAATAATACAAGTGAAAATATAAAATTATTTGAAAGATGAAACAACTAAAAAAACCCTTAAAAATAAAAAGTGCTGTCTTGGGGAGGCGTTCTCTGCTATTGCTTTAAAAGCAGGGTAGTGTAGTGGTGACGCCTGGATTAAAAGATGTCTAACACCTCCCGCTTGACACAAGAAACCACTGCATTTATCTTTGAATCCAGTGCAAACTAGGCTACTCTTCAGTAAGAGTTATTTGCTAATGCATTTATTGAGCCCTTTCCTTTTTTAGGTAAAGCTCTGGTTTAGCTGCGTGTTGTAACCAAGCCTTATATATAATAAATAAATAACTCGGTAAACTAAAGCAGCCAGCCTGTTCAGCATCAACATTTATTTATACAACTGGTGGAAGTGTTTATTCCTGTTTTAGAAAATAATAATCTCTCTCTCCTTGTAATTGTGGTACATTCTGCATACTTAATCTAACCCATGGCTTTCACAGTCTTTTATGTAATTCCCCAATTACACTGCAATTATGAAAATGTGCACTGAAGTTCATTTTACTGCTGTGAGATCGACTTTCATCCCTGAAAACGGCTGAGACCTCCTGCCAGCATCCATTTAGAAGATTCAGGGAGCTGCACAGCATGGAGAGAAATCCTCATGCATGGAAAGGATTGATGGTTCATTTTTGAAATGACAAAAACTCATCTGATTTGGCAAGATATATATGATGTAAACAGAAATGTTACATACAACAACAAGGTTAAAAGTCATAAAATAGATAACAAGCCATAAGTTTCAGTATCTTCATTTACAATGGTTCTTTTGAAGCTCATTTTTAAACACTAGGAGCAATTTGAACATATTGAACGTTACTTTAGAAGAGTTTAAAAGTCTCTTAATACAGTTCAGTGTTTCCCCTATATGCATCTAGCAGCAGAGATGCACCGCTGATGAAATATGACCTCCACTGCTGGGCTCCAGCTTATCTCCATTATATTAATTTGAACTACAGAATCAAATGTGAGCATCGTTTTGAAATAAATTATTCATTTTCTTTGGTAAATTTCGGACTCCTCTCGTCTTTTGCCATTACCCAGGAGCCTACTTATGACAATAGGGTGGTTGTTGGTTGATTATTTTGTCCAATAAATGTTAATAATTATTTTAAAGAACATATATCTTTTTTAAATTGCACCCAACTAAAACATTGTTCCACTTCACCTCCGCTGCCACAACTCCAACCTCGGGGAAACACTGCAGCTCTAAATTAAAGTTAATGATTTGTGTCTGTGAACATTTTATTTATGTACACTTCGACTGATACTACGCTGCTCTAAAAAAAATAAAGGAGATCTTTATCTAAACAGTATAACACCAAATCAGTTGGATTTCAGGGATTAGATCTGTCCATTTAGGAAGCAGAAGGGATTGTGAACAATTTCATCAGCTTTGGTGCAAATTAAAGTGACAACAGGTGCAATAGAGAGGCAAAAGCAAGACAATCCTAAAAAAAGGAACGGTTTTCTCATGTGGTGCCCTCAGAGAATTGCCTTTGAGTATGCCAGAACACCAGAACTGGCAGGTCTGCTGTTGGAGGAGCAGGTATGCAGAGTATGTGGGCAGTTCCTGGATGACAAAGGGATTGGTGCCATTGACTGGCCCTCTTGTTCCCCTGATCTAAATCCAACTGAGCACTGATGGGAGGTTACAGAGACTGTCCAGGAGCTCACTGACGCCCTGATCGAGGTGAGGCGATCCCCTAGCAAACCCTTTGCTGACTCATCTTGAGAATGCAAAAATGTAAGTGCGTTACAAATTAAATGTATTATTATTATTATTATTAAGAGTTCCCTTCAAAGGAAATCCTGTGTTAGGAGCCTAGAATGGGCTTTTTATTTGCTAAACTTCTATTACCATTTATTATACAATGTTTTAGCACTGCTGATAATTACTACTTAAAAATAGAACTTCATCACTTTCTAAGATCATATGCTTGAGAATGAGAATTTGATGTCTTAATTAAGAAATGATTCCTTCAGTCATTTGCCACATACAGTCCCTTTAGCCACTTGAGCCAATCCAACAGGCCCAAAAAATGCTTTTTTGCACATCTAACTGTTAACACAGGGTCTGCTGTACTGACCTGGGAGGGCGGTCCAGGAAATAGAGGGGAAGGACTGTAGAGGAAAATAGCAGCATCAGTCTCCTTCTGACTTTCTCCTCCATGGTCCCCAGTGTCTGTCATCCCATGATCTCCCATCACCACCAGCAGGGTGTCGTTTTGTAGACGGTCAATCACAGATCTGGAAGAGAAGTAAGAATATATATAACATATGGTCTTAAGGGTCTAAAAAGAGATTATTTAGGGTTCCTAATATCACAATTCATGATTTATTTGATAGGGAGATTTAGCTTTACTCTTTCAATTACTATTCAAAATTCCTCTCTGATGATGTAATGTTTTGTATCGTTTAGATAAGTATCTTAAAAAACAACAGTGGCAGGTGATGTCTACAGTACTACAGGTGCACTATGACAGCAAAAGATGGTGATCCTGGGAGCCCCAGGCTGGGGGATGATGTGAAACATGCTCATAGCAGCTGCACTGTTGTCTGACCTGATGACTTCATCCATCTGGGCCAGCTTGTCTGCCATGGCCGGGTGGTCGGGACCAAACCTGTGACCACAGTGGTCCACTCCAAGGAAATGGGCAACCAGGACATCCCAATCATCCCCCACCACTGTCAAAACCAACAGCAAGTGACGGAGAGATGTGAAGCACAATTAAATTGCAAGAACGAAATCCAAAAATACACAATGTGTTCATCATGATCATGGAGTTATAAAAATCATATTGAGTAGAGACATACTAGTTGTGTAGAGGTGCTGGAGGATCCCGTTGTCCACCGTATGTAAATCCTTCACATTGAAAGAAGGGAATGGCAGAGAGCGGTGGAACTTCTTAGGAAAAAGATTCTCCCAGGTGTCGTCGCCCATGAACACAACTCTTCTGCCTGTGAGAGAGAAGACATTGAAAGAGAACAAAATTAAATGCTCACTCATTTTTACAAACGGTTTTGATAGTTAACTTGAACGCTTTCGGGATGTGGTAAAGAATCATTTAGTCAAGAAAATAGACATCACTGTATTTCAGTGGGACTGTTTTTGTTGATGTTGCAGATAGGTTTAAAATCTAAAACAAGTCAATACAGCAGCATACATCAGTTTTGTGACACCTCTAGTTTTGCCTTTGATAGCTGCTTGAAACACCTGTCCTCCTGATGTCCTTCATTGTGGTGCCTTAAGACAATAACCCCCCTGGTTGAAAGTTTGTGATATATGGAGTGCAGTGAGGAAGCAGTTTTCCATCCCATCATTTTATAATACAAAGTAAAAAGCTTTGAGAGCCCTGCTGATATATCAATGCGTCTATACATTCTGTCTAATGGGCTACTGTCATAAATATACCAGTACTGGTGTTTAAGTTTTTTTAAAAGCACTGTTATTATATAGTTATGTAAAAACAAAGCTTAAGGCGTTATCATATAGTTTGTTAAACTGATTGTTATACTTGGCACGGCCGCAGCACTTAGCTTTAATAAAGTTAGTTTTAAAGCAGCCTTCTGGTTAACTTCGAATAGTCGAACACAAGTTCAAAATCAAACAACAAAGGTGTGTTTTTTCCCTTTCAACTCCAAGTTCTAAAATTCACCATAGCAACCATGTCAGTAAACTTTACATTTTTACTTCATAGATTATTATCAGCCTCAGCAATCCCATGTAGAGCCAGCTCTAAACCTCATTTCAGCTTCCTTAACCTTAATAGCCCTTTAGTTGCTCTTTGCACACTCAGCCTGGAGGAATACATATTTACCCTGACACTGTTGCAGATTTGTCATGTTCACATGTCTTGCAGGAAGTATTGCTGTGTAACTACTCACCCACTTGACCAAACTGGTGGATGAGATTGTCCTCCAGTATGGCACTGGATGCAAAGTTATTGCCCACATCGACGAAAGTAGGCAGAGAACCTGTAGTGAAGCCCTTGATCCTCTGCATGGTGGTCGTAGGAGGGTCGGCACGAAAGGGGTACAGGCGGCTGTGGAGAGGCCTGGATGACACCGTCTCCTCCAGCACAGGCAGCTTGTTCTCGTACGGACGGGGCTCCGTGTTGTTCGGGTCGAAACGGGCAAAGTCAATCTTGAGGGCGTCGATAATGAGGAGCACGACCTTACGGAAACGCGGCTCGGCGCGGCAGAAGTCCGCCGGCTCGTCTCCGGGCTGCAGCACGTCTCCGCAGGTACTGGTCCTGTTCACCTCCAGCCGAACAAGAAGAAACCCTCCCACGAACAGGTAGAGGCCCACAAAGTACACCGCACACAGCCACAGGAGCAGAGACAGCACCGGGAGCCTCTTCATCTTTCACACACACAACACAAGTCTTTCTCACCAATATAACAAAGTCAAGAGAAGACATGGAAAACACCTGCAACACAAGATGCTAATGGTATCTACGGATACCTTGACACAAACCTCAACTTCCAGAGAAACCTTAAAACCTGTCCGACGTTGAGCTGACGTGCCAGGTGTTATTAATTAACTCACTAGCTAACACAGGAGACGGGTTAATAAGTTAATGCTGTTAGCCACAGCTAGCTTGCATAGCTCTTGTCACTGACCTTGCAGCTGTGGGCTTTTCGTCCTCTCCCGGCCGGAGGGCAGGTGTGTGAATGTGTGTGTTAACAACACCGGTACGGGTGCATCAGGTAAACAGAGAACAAGGGTACACAGCGCTCACCTTCATTGGTACTCCATTACAATGAGATTAGAAAACTGGTGACAGATAGGAACTTAAGCGTGCATGCAACCCGGCGGATATACGTGGCGGACGTTTTGAATGTAACACATTTTTACAGAGCGTTTTTGCCCTCGTTTGATCTTACAGGCAAAACGTTGCGCTCAGCTGTGTGCAGTCTATGGATGTGGTAAAGGAAAACAAAGGCTCAATATTGCAAAATAAAGTCTTTGTCGAAAAATTGCTCTTTTCCAATCCAAACTGGGTACGACAACCCCAAAATAATAATTGAAATAAAAAAATGATTCAGGAGAGACGAGCAAGAGTAGGGGTACGTTATAAGTTGCGAACTACAATCAATTCAATTCTCTTTGACTGTTCGAACTGTTGAAAAAAATATCAACTGATTGAATGTATCTTAAATAAAATTAATAAAGGAATAGTATTTTTACTTGCTGACAGTACATATTCTAGGTCCACATCGTCTTCAAGGCAAAGCTGAGGGCTTAAACTCCCTCGTGTAAAAAAACTGCCAATTTTATTACTTGAGCGACACATTCTTTATATATTTCTATATATATATTTATTTATTTATTTCTGGGCAAACAGACTGACTTTACAAACTTTATTGTTTTATTTTCATAGTAATTTAACATTGCTAAACTTAAACAGTGAACTAGATCATACTGGGCAACTTTAACATACTTCAAATCATACTGTAAGTGAAATGATTTCCAAACTCCAGCTGTTTTTCATTCATTTTTCTATACAAATTGTCTTAGTTTTTTTTTCAACACAAGTGCTTCATAACAGCATAACTGTAAACCTATACTGAACTCTGCAAGTGTCAGAGTGCCAGTTTCACTTTTGCATTAGTTATTTTTCATAAACCTTTAAGCATAATTGAAAATGACAAACTCTTTACAGAGAAGCATGAAACTTAATAAATACATACCCATAAGACATACGAGGTGAAAACAAAAAACACAAAAACATTTGCTCCAAAGGCTGACTTTGTATACTTGCTTGTGGATGGGAGTTATTTCTGAATGATTTCAAAGCCATCAACTTCTCATGAATGTCCTGGGACAGGTACTGGATTAGTTCTTTCAGGGAAACAATATATAGTAATCTAACATGTGCCAAGTTTTAAAAAACTACACTCTGGGAATTTTTTTACAATTCTGATGCATCCTGCCGGACGTCTTATGTAGTCGCTGGTCCCAATAAAGCTGAAGACAGTTGAAAACTTGTCACTGATGCCTGCAAACTATCTGTTTCACAGCAGAGGGCTGTTTTATTACCACATTAACACTAATGAGCCTTAAGAACCAGAACACAGTTATTTGGACCAGCCCTTGGAAAAAATGCAAAAGGATAAAACACTGTAACCCCCCATGGGTCTGTGAAGAAATACATATACCCAAGGTTTTAAATTGCGCAAAAATAACTTTATGCAAAGAAACCATGTCCTGCATAATATCCATGTCTTACATGTTCATCTACTGGCATCAGTGAAAGATAAACCCCTTCAAACTCTTCATTTTGTTAGCCTGCCAAAATCTTGGGTAAGACTTTATTTGACTAAAGGCTGCTGTCAAACTCCAATTGTACAATTATGAACATAAACAAAGGTCAGTTAACATTGAATATCCTGCTTTCAAAAGGACACTAAGGCAGTTTGATGAAGTGTCTCTGTTTGCCTGCCGTCAGAAGGTATGAGCTGAGAGACTGTTAAACATAATCTGCTTCTTCTGCTTCTGTGTCTTTTGTTACTGCTCCGAGTTCATTCACTGAGTTGCTGTTATTGGGTTGATGCAGACTGCTTCACATGCTCTTCGCTCTTCTTCTCCACCGCTGCTTTGTGGTTCGTCTTTGCCAATGTGCCGTAAATGCTCATAGCCTGCATTCAGGGGAAAAACACAATATAAGCCATTACTGCCCTGGCTCAAATCAAAGTAATAAACAATTTATGAATTCCAGATAGAAAATACCTGTGTGACCATTCCGGTAATGTCGCCGGAATTGGAGGGCAGAAGGATGGTGTTGGACTCTTTGGCGAGGTTGGAGAAAGCAGACACGTACTGCTCGGCCACACTCAGAGAAGCGGCTGCATTTCCATTCTGTACAATAAACAACAAAAACAACATTAGAATGAACCAAATCTTTCACTTATATTAATAAGACTCTTATTTAAAAACTGAAAAACAAGAAAAGGGCCTCACATGTTCAGTCAGAGCCTCTGACAGCACACAAATAGCCTTTGCCTTCGCCTCTGCTTTTGCCATGATGGCTTGGGCCTCACCTGGAGAAAATACAGTGATACAATCAGTGACAGACAACTTGCATAATCATTTAATACATACAAGTTATTCAAGTACTTTTATCCCAATAGCCTCTGCATTAAATATTTAGTCACACAACAGAGCAACAGATACTTTAGAAAAAACAAGAACATAATGCTTTGATGTAACTGCTGTTGTAAAACGACTAAACTAGGTTCCTTAGTGCACCCACCAGCTGCTTTATTGATGTTTTCAGCCTTTTCACCCTCTGATGCCAGAATCTGAGCTTGTTTTTGACCCTCTGCCACGTTAATGGCTGCTTCCCTCGTCCCTTCAGACTCCAGCACTGTGGCTCTCTTCTTCCGTTCCGCCTCCACCTGTACAGATGTTTTAAATGTGCATCAAAACATTTTCTTCTCTCCGTCTAGAGTCTAATCAGTACCGTGCTTGATTTCAAAGTGGCTTGCGACTTGTTACCATAGTAACTATCCCCTCACCTGCATCTGCATGGATTCCTTGACACGAGGCGGAACGTGTATATCTTTGATTTCATAACGAAGACACCGGATTCCCCAATCGTCTGAAGCCTGGTTGATGGAATGAACGATGTTGGAGTTCAGGCACTCCCTTTCCTGAAAGATAAACGTACATTTAATCACTAGAAGTGCAAACGATATCTTCCCTTATGAGTCTGCAGAAAAGAAAAAAGTGAGATCCAGCTCATCGTTACCCTGAACACTTTGTCCAGCGTGAGTTTGCCCAGTTCTGACCTCATGGTGGTCTGTGCCAACTGTGTGACTGCATACTCTGGATCCTCCACACCGTAGCTGGCCTGGTAACAAACAGAATAAAAGATTCAAATGACAACACTGTGATGAGAGTAAAACAACACAGTGGAGCTGACGATCATTCATGCATGTAAAAGAGAACCAAACTGCGTACCTTAAAGGGGTCCAGGATCCTTAAGTAGAGCACTCCATCAATCTGTAGTGTTACATTATCTGAAAAATAAGGCATCAGATTATATATATTACACAAGCTAAGATGTATGTTACTGATGGAGAACTTGGTATTTTAATGATCCTTTACCTAGAGATACTGCAGACTGCTCTGGGACATCAATAACGATCTCTTTGAGACTTTGCACATAGCGAACTCGGTCAAGTAAAGGTATGAGGAAGTTTAAACCCTACAAATAAAAGAGAAGGGTTATTGGACCATAGGGTTCAGTTGTGAGATACTACTAATGCTCGACCTCTTTGAACTGAAATGTGTCAAAACAGTGCAGTCGTCGTACCGGCTCCAAGATCCGATGGAAGCGACCCATTCTCTCAACCACCCAGGCTTCCTGTTGGGGCACAAACAGGACCACGGTGTTCATGGGGAGGCTGGACGCCCATCGCTGCTGGGCTGGTGTGATCCACAACCTCGGTGCTGAGCGCTGGCTTTGCTACAAACAGACACAACAAAATGACATCAGAGTTACAGAGATTCATCTTAATGAATGCTTTGTATGCTCAAATGTTAGAAGTATGTACCTCTTTAAGGACTTTAACCTTACCAATGTTTTACTAAAAGATATATAAAACAATAATAAAGTTTATAGTTTAAGTTGTTTTCTAACATGTTTAGCTTGTGCTCATCTTGTTTGTTGAACTCTTTCTAATTGACTGTTCAGCTGAAATTCTCTATGCCATGTAAATGTATGCATAGACACGTTGTATTGTATAAAAGTGAAACTATATAAATATATATAACTAAAGGCCTAGCTACATACATTAACATGTCACTGATCAGCTAAAAGTCATTCATATATTTCTACCTAGAACCGCTCGGTGATTATTTTGAAGTGTCAGTTAAATGAATGTTAAAACTCCTCTCTTCAAAAGGAGAGAGGTGTCTGCAGGTTGAAGGAGCACACAGTCCGGATATTGTTTCATTATTTTAGAGTTACCTTCAGAAGAGCTCCGCCGGCCCGACACAGCGTCCGTAACATCCTTTAAATGTAGAGAAATGATTGAAGACGGTTCAGACTCGTTCACTGGACACTTCTCAAACTCTACTCATGTGTAGTGTGACCCTTGCTGCTGGTTCAGGAAATGAAAGTTACATCAGTGGTGCAGCGGTGAAAAATGCCGTGCTGGATACTAGAGCTGAACGGATATGGTTCCGCTTGCAATATAAAAGCAGCATCTACATCTGAAGATCTACAGCGACTATTACCACGATTATTCTGAACACTTAGGAGCCTAACAGTCTGAGAACATAAAGAAACTCAGACCTGTTGTTTTCTAAGGAGCCCTGGCGGTGACATGAGATATTTTAAATAGATTTTGTTAACAGCTTAGCAGCAGCAGTGTGGACCATGTGTAGGCGGCTCAACGATGTGATGCTAAGACAGGTATTGAATTACAGTAGACTAATCAAGTCTGAATGAAACAAAGGTATAATTAATCATCTGTAGCTCAGCTCTGAATACTACGGAGCCCTGGAGGTGACATGTACGGAGCCCTGGAGGTGACATGGATGTTTTTTTGTTTTATCTCGCACGCGCGAGTTACTATCTCGCGCGTGAGTATTTCAAGGTATAAGGGTATATAAGGGTATATGTAGCACACTTGAATGAACCACAGTGCGCTTGGAGTTGTATGTTGTTTTACTTTTTTCTGCAAACATAAACATATAGCAGCATCGTAAATAATACGCTTCTCTCTGAGCTTCATCAGAACAACACAATGATTGACCTGCGCTGACCAAGAGCGACCCATAACCACAAACTCCCTCTTGTGGTGAAACTCTG